CAATCAGGGGCAGGACAGACAATCGGACGGCACAGCGGGGAGGGAGCAAGTGGCCTGAAACGGGAGGTTAATTTTCAAAATAAAACAGGAAATCACAAGACAACATAGACAGCAGACAACATGATTAACGCCGCTTCCTGGACAGTGACTTTCTGTTAAGGGTCCTGCGTTTAACCCAAAGCAGACAAATAAATGATGTTCAGTTAAAATGACTTCCTCCAAACAGCTTTACTATAGTAATGAATAATACGTTGATTGTTTAACTATGTAGAAACACCGTGTTGTCCACAGGGGGCACCGGCATCACATCTACATCAACTTACGTGGTTTTTATGAAGAGGATGAAATAATATTAACAGATATTGACTCAATGTCCTGCATTCATAATGCTTCTCTCTTCTTCTTCTTTCTCTCGTCATGAAACTCCCAGCAGTCTGTTTAATGTGGAGTGTGTGAGTGTGTGTGTGTGTGTGTGTGTGTGTGTGTGTGTGTGTGTGTGTGTGAGTGTGAGTGTGTGTGTGGGGGGGGAGAAAGGGGAGGGCCACAAGGGAAAGAAGAGAGTGACAGCAAACAGAGTGAGCGAGAGAAGGAGAAGAAACGGAGGGGAGGGTCGAGCGAATGGGAGTGGAGCCACAGAGAGAGAGAGAGAGAGAGAGGGAGAGAGAGGGGGAGAGAGAGAGGGAGAGAGAGAGAGAGAGGGAGAGGGAGAGAAGGGAGGATGACAGCCGATGTGGTCGTTGCCGCGGCAGCAGAGCAGGACCGTTCTGAGACAGTAACTCTACACTCCTCCTCTTCCTCCTCCTCCTCTTCCTCCTCCTTCTTCTTTTTTATTATCATTCCTCCATCTCTCCGTCCGTTTCCACCTGGAGCCGAACCAAACCCCCAAAAACTAAAAACAAAAGAGTTTAATCTTCCTCTTCTTCTTGTTCCACACCTTCTTCTTCATCATCATCATCATCATCATCACAGCCACCCTCGTCAGCGGCGGTAAGTAATACTCCAGATACCGACGCGCGCTGAGAATAGAACAGGGGAAGCAAGTGGAGGAGGAGAGAATAGAGTCAGAGAAGAAGAAGAGAAAAGTCTGAGAAGAGAAGAAGAACGATCAATTGCAAGGAGACAAGAATATAGTAAAATAAAAGAATGACTGGTAGAAGAGGAATAGATAACAGAAGATGATGTGTGTGTGTGTGTGTGTGTGTGTGTGTGTGTGTGTGTGTGTGTGTGTGTGTGTGTGTGTGTGGAGATTGATGTAATCCAGCAGCATGAATTAGTGATGAAGTTCTCTGTGTTTGCTATTAACGGTGGTTAGCATTCGCACACACACACACACACACACACACACACACACACACACACACACACACACACACACGCTCGGTTTATGTCGTCCTACTCAGAATATATTTTCTACTGTTTCTTGTAAAAGGAGTTGCACTTTGATGTCATTTGTACTTGAAGGCCTGTGATCAGCTGATCGGGCGTCTGACTTCCTGTCTGCGTCTCATTGGTTCATCCTGAGCTCGTTAGTCTGCTTCACTTCAAACCCTCAGAACGAAATGGTGACTTTGTTGGCGGGTGAATCTTTATACGTGAGAATAAATACAGCGTGATGATGATGATGATGAGGCTGGCGGTGAAGATGAAGGAGCCTCAAGCTCATCGGGGAGGTTCTTGTTAGTAGAAACATTCACATGAAGAAACTCAGCAGCTTCATCTGTGAAAGAAACGAGACACTGAAACAAAAGCTCAGCTTCAATCAGCTGTGACGTCTTTACTGGTTTTCATTTGCTTTGTTTAAGGTTTCAGTATCTGATCAAATATGGCGACGTTGTGGCATCGCTGACCGCAGGGACGGATGGGCGGAGCTTCGTGCGGCTCCTTCACAATAAAAGCTGCCTCCGTGTTCGTCCATGTGGAGCAGCAGGAAGTGAATTGCGTTGTTAAAGTGTGATTTCAGTGCGTTGTCGACCACATCTAGTGTCCAACATGTGGTTTCATTCAATCGCAAGGAGGATGTCACCTCAAACATAAAGAGTCTCCGGTCCGAGTCGCCCCCTGGGGGTCACTACAGAGAATGCAGCTTTACACAATGTGTGTGTTTGTGTGTCTGCGGTGTGTAAATGTGTGTGTTTGCTGAAGTGAAGTGCTGCTCACTGGTGTCGTCTAATGGTTTCACACAAACCTTGTGACTGACCGGCCAACTGTGTGTGTGTGTGTGTGTGTGTGTGTGTGTGTGTGTGTGTGTGTGTCTGTGTGTGTGTGTGTGTGTGGTGTGTGTGTGTCTGTGTGTGTGTGTGTGTGTGTGTCTGTGTGTGTGTGTGTGTGTGTGGTGTGTGTGTCTGTGTGTGTGTGTGTGTGTGTGTGTGTGTGTGTGTGTCTGTGTGTGTCTGTGTGTGTGTGTGTGTGTGTGTGTTGTGTGTGTCGTGTGTGTCTGTGTGTGTGTGTGTGTGTGTGTGTGTGTGTGTGTGTGTGTGTGTGTCTGTGTGTGTGTGTGTGTCTGTGTGTGTGTGTGTCTGTGTGTGTGTGTGTGTGTGTGTGTGTGTGTGTGTGTGTGTGTGTGTGTGTGTCTGTGTGTGTGTGTGTGTGTGTGTGTGTGTGTGTGTCTGTGTGTGTGTGTGTGTGTGTGTGTGTGTGTGTTTATATGTTGAGTGCAGTTTCCATTCCAGCAGAAACACGTCTTCTCGTCTCGTTACTCCGGCTGAGTGACGACGTTTGCAAAGTTTAAAGGAGCAGTCGCTTGTTTTCTAAGAAACGCTTCAGCTCCCAGAACTCAGTACTTAAACGTAGTATTACTGGGGATTAGAAGTACTCTGATACTGTATTTCAAAATAATAATACATAGAACCACAGAGTAAAAGTATAAAGTATTACATAGTATTACCACAGAGTAGTAGTACTATATATGCAACAATGTAAAATACAGTACAAATATAGACAAATAATAAAATAAAAATTTTAAAAGAAGAGACAAATGTGTTAAATTAAATGCAATCAAATGTTTTGTTAGAAAGTTTTTAATCATTAGATGGAAAATAAAAATGAATAAGACGTAATGATGTCTGTGCAGGTGTTTGAAGACGTGTGCAGTACTTCATGTTTGAATGTTTTTTCTAATACAGATCACACACACAGACACACACACACACACAGACACACACACACACACACACACACACACACAGACACACACACACACACACACAGACACACACACACACACACACACACAGACACACACACACACACACACAGACACACACACACACGTAACCCTTTTCTCCCCATTGAGGGGTTTTTATTTGTTGGGGCTTTGTTCCTGTGTCAATGTGAGGGTCAAAGGTCAGAGGATGTCGCATGTGTACATCATGCATGTGTAAAGCTCTTTGAGGCGTTTTGTGATTTTGGGCCATAGAAAATGAAATGAATGGAATATACAGGTATACATGTGTACATATATACATGTGTACATATATACATGTGTACATGTATATATGTACACATGTACCATTGCCCCCATGTTTCACCTGAAGAAGAAGATTAATTGATGCAGAACGAAAGTAAAATAAAAACATCTTTATAACCTGCATCTTCATAGTTTTATCTTGAACAGTAGAACTAGTAACATAGTAATACTGCAGAGTAGAAGTACTGCTATTAACGCAGTGGTTGTAAACCAGCACGATGGCATCTGTATTGATGCATAAAGGAAGCAGTTTATCTCCTCTTCTGTCTCCTCCTCCTCCTCCTCCTCTTCTGTCTCCTCCTCCTCCTCCTCCTCCTCCTCCTCTTCTGTCTCATCCTCCTCCTCCTCTCCTCTCCTGCTCCTCCTCCTCTCCTCTTCTGTCTCCTCCTCCTCCTCCTCCTCCTCCTCTCCTCTTCTGTCTCATCCTCCTGCTCCTCCTCCTCTCCTCTTCTGTCTCTTCCTCCTTCTCCACCTCTTCTGTCTCATCCTCCTCCTCTCCTCTCCTGCTCCTCCTCCTCTCCTCTTCTGTCTCCTCCTCCTTCTCCACCTCCCTTCTGTCTCATCCTCCTTCTCCTCTCCTCTCCTGCTCCTCCTCCTCTCCTCTTCTGTCTCATCCTCCTCCTCCTCTCCTCTCCTGCTCCTCCTCCTCTCCTCTTCTGTCTCCTCCTGCTCCTCCTCCTCTCCTCTTCTGTCTCTTCCTCCTTCTCCACCTCTTCTGTCTCATCCTCCTCCTCTCCTCTCCTGCTCCTCCTCCTCTCCTCTTCTGTCTCCTCCTCCTTCTCCACCTCCCTTCTGTCTCATCCTCCTCCTCCTCTCCTCTTCTGTCTCCTCCTCCTGCTCCTCCTCCTCTCCTCTTCTGTCTCTTCCTCCTCCTCCTCTCTTCTTCTGTCTCCTTCTGCTCCTCTCCTCTTCTGTCTCCTCCTCCTTCTCCACCTCCCTTCTGTCTCATCCTCCTCATCCTCTTCCTCCTCTCCTCTCCTGCTCCTCCTCCTCTCCTCTTCTGTCTTATCCTCCTTCTCCACCTCCCTTTTCCATGATGGCTCCCTTTCTCCTCCTGTCCTCCTGGTTCGTCTCTCACACACTGTCTCTGTTTGTGTCTCCTGACAGGACGGCCATACATGGGCATGGAGTAGGAGCTGCCTGACTCCTCCTCCTCCACTAGTGCCCCCCTCCCCCAGAGAGACACAGATGGAGGAGCAGTAGGGAGGGCGGAGCAGGAGTGGAAGCTCCACTTAGAGGGAGGAGGACATTCTGTCTGCCGGCAGCTTCAGCAACCATCATCACGATTTAATAAGAATCTGAAGAGCTGCAACAAACCTGTCTTCAGAGGGGGGGGGCAGACAGAGGGAGGGGAGGAGAGACAGAGGGGAGGGATGGAGAGGGGGAGGGAGGATGGAGGCCAGACTCTGATGCCTTCAGCAATAAACCTGTGAGAAATAACTGCTGTTACTGTTGACGCGTGTTGTCGGCGGCTCGGTTCAGCAGGCCGGGTTTTCTACCCGCTGGGGGGCAGGTGGGGGGCAGCTGGGGGGCGGCTGTGAACTGGAGTGCGACTCTTCTTTTGGAGTTTTTTATTTTTATTTAAAGGCGCCGGTTAACACAGTACTTTACTTTATTTTGAAAAGCAACAGGAAACCGTGGATGCTAGGAACCTGTCAAAATAAAACGACTGGAAACGTACCTGTCGGACGCATCGGCTTTCTTTTTTGTTTCATGGCTCAACACCTGACTGCCCTCTGACCCGTCCTCCCCCGTCCTCCCCCGCCGCCCCCAATGCCCCTCCCCCCTTCATCAACATGTCCCACTACGTCTTCTCGCTCCGCCTCGCCCGCTCAAGGACATCAGGGCAGGAGAAGAAGTGAGGATTTGATAAACACACACGCAGCAGCCCCCCCCCTCACACCCCTCCCCCAAAAACACCTCCCGTCTCTGATTCAAGATGGCGGCCGGCGTGGCCACGTGGCTGCCGTTCGCACGGGCCGCGGCGGTGGGATGGCTACCGTTGGCCAAGAAGACGATGCCCAAACCCCCCGTGGACAACTCGTCCAAGTCGGATGAGATCCTGTATGTCAACGTCAGCGGGGTCCGGTTTCAGGTGGGTGCCGCCACCAGGTGTGTGGGGGAGGGAGGGAGGGGGGGAGAGGTCATTAAAACTCAAGGATAAAGTAGTATAAAGAAATACTGTGTTGGGATTCCAGAAGGTCTGGACTTCGTCTTGGTCACAGGTGTCAATAGTTCTTCTTTGTACTACAAGTGGACATTTTATGTTGATATTGAGTGCTTCATTGTTTGTTAGAGACCTGTCAATCACAGTAGCCCCGCCCTAAATCAGCCCCTCTTTATGGTCTATTTGACTGAACATGGACCATCAGTCACTAAATGAACTTCATCTGTGTTGAAGAAGACTTGAAACTAGAGACTGAGACCATAAACTCATGTTTACAATGTTTACTGAGGGAATAAATCAAGAGAGAAGTAGAGTCATTTCCTCATAGACGTCTATGGGAGCAGAGGAGTCGCCCCCTGCTGGTCACTACAGAGAAGTAGAGTCATTTCCTCATAGACGTCTATGGGAGCAGAGGAGTCGCCCCCTGCTGGTCACTACAGAGAAGTAGAGTCATTTCCTCATAGGCGTCTATGGGAGCAGAGGAGTCGCCCCCTGCTGGTCACTACAGAGAAGTAGAGTCATTTCCTCATAGACGTCTATGGGAGCAGAGGAGTCGCCCCCTGCTGGTCACTACAGAGAAGTAGAGTCATTTCCTCATAGACGTCTATGGGAGCAGAGGAGTCGCCCCCTGCTGGTCACTACAGAGAAGTAGAGTCATTTCCTCATAGACGTCTATGGGAGCAGAGGAGTCGCCCCCTGCTGGTCACTACAGAGAAGTAGAGTCATTTCCTCATAGACGTCTATGGGAGCAGAGGAGTCGCCCCCTGCTGGTCACTACAGAGAAGTAGAGTCATTTCCTCATAGACGTCTATGGGAGCAGAGGAGTCGCCCCCTGCTGGTCACTACAGAGAAGTAGAGTCATTTCCTCATAGACGTCTATGGGAGCAGAGGAGTCGCCCCCTGCTGGTCACTACAGAGAAGTAGAGTCATTTCCTCATAGACGTCTATGGGAGCAGAGGAGTCGCCCCCTGCTGGTCACTACAGAGAAGTAGAGTCATTTCCTCATAGACGTCTATGGGAGCAGAGGAGTCGCCCCCTGCTGGTCACTACAGAGAAGTAGAGTCATTTCCTCATAGACGTCTATGGGAGCAGAGGAGTCGCCCCCTGCTGGTCACTACAGAGAAGTAGAGTCATTTCCTCATAGACGTCTATGGGAGCAGAGGAGTCGCCCCCTGCTGGTCACTACAGAGAAGTAGAGTCATTTCCTCATAGACGTCTATGGGAGCAGAGGAGTCGCCCCCTGCTGGTCACTACAGAGAAGTAGAGTCATTTCCTCATAGACGTCTATGGGAGCAGAGGAGTCGCCCCCTGCTGGTCACTACAGAGAAGTAGAGTCATTTCCTCATAGACGTCTATGGGAGCAGAGGAGTCGCCCCCTGCTGGTCACTACAGAGAAGTAGAGTCATTTCCTCATAGACGTCTATGGGAGCAGAGGAGACTCTACAAGTATCGTATGAAGTTCAGATACGATGGACCAGGAACCGCAAACATTCTCTTGTCTGTAGGCACGTCACTTCATCATGAGAAGTTGGACGTCGTTTCCTTTAGCTTTACATTAACACAGTGGTTCTCAAACTTTCTCTCTCATCATCCTGGTAAAGCACGCAGGCTAAAACCATAATAATGATGGTAAATGATGCTTGTAGCTGCTTGTTATCTACGGTCCACGGTTACAGAGACGTGTCGTTTGGTGTTTTTTTTGGAGAATTTGGACTTTCTATCCCCTTTCTTTAGTGCGGAAATGGGCTTCTATAGTTGTGTGTGAATGCATCAATACAAAGACGGGGTTTGTAACCAATCAGGTGTAGAGACCATGGCGACTAGCTCCGCCCCCTGGCGACTGGCTCCGCCCCCTTACTGTCATAAAGAACCACAGCGAGCGCGTAGAAAACAACTTCGAGCTCGAGCAGAGAAGTTTGGCATAGTTATGGATCTTCCCTGGCTGAGCGGCAGCAGGTGATTCAGACTCTCTGAAGCTCTGGACTTCAGAGGGAGAAACATCATGTCCTACATTAGACTCGCTTCTTGGGGTTTGTTTGAGAGCTTTGTGATTCAGCAGCAGAACGCCCACATCAGACCCACTTTTGGAGCTCCTTATCTCACTCTCTCCTCTTCTGTTCCTCCAGACATGGAAGAACACTCTGGACCGGTACCCGGAGACCCTGCTGGGCTCCTCGGAGAAGGAGTTCTTCTACAACGAGGACACGCAGGAGTTCTTCTTCGACCGGGACCCGGAAATGTTCCGGCACATTCTGAACTTCTACCGCACGGGGAAGCTGCACTACCCGAGGAACGAGTGCATCCAGGCCTTCGACGAGGAGCTGGCCTTCTACGGCATCGTGCCCGAGATCATCGGAGACTGCTGCATGGAGGTAAACCTGCAGAGGGCCACCGCTGGAGGTCTGGTCCAAGGGAGAGAGGGAGAACCTCGGGTTAACACAACTAGACCAACAGTGAAACACTAAACATCCAGACGATGACGTGTAGATCCTCCATGTTGTCTCAGAGGATCAGGTGACCTCTGACCTTTGACGTTCCTCTCTCACGAGGTCTCTTTGATGGCGGATCATCGTTCCCTGATCCTGAGTCAGCTCAGCATGGGCCACGAGGCTCTCGTGTCCTCATGTCTTTGTCTTTAATGTCTTTGTCTCCACGTGTGTAATCCGCATCCCACGAGAAGCTCCGCCCTTCTGTATCTTTCTGCATTAAGCTAACTAGCACGGTTAAGCGGAAGAAGTGTCATATTATCATATTTTTGTTGGTTTAGTTTCTGACGTGTGTCATACAGTAGCTCCGTACCGCTGAGGAATATAATGCAAATAATATAAATAATAATGGAGTAGTCAATCCATAAACACAACTGGCACAGAGGGTATTTAATGTTTTAATGATAGCTAACAGCTAGCTAGCTATTAGCTAACGGCTAGCTAGTCACAGCGTAAGAACTTCTACTGGGTCTTTGACCTTTCCTTCGACACACTTTCTGATCACGTTGCAGAGTTCATGTGCTGCCTGAGAAGAAGAAGAAGATTCATCGTTCTCATTCACGGAGCGATTGCGTAATCTGGTCCTCCTCTTCCTCATAGGAATACCGCGACAGGAAGAAGGAGAACCAGGAGCGCCTCGCGGAGGACACGGAGGCCAACGAGGCGATGGATGCCCCCCTGCCCCCCCACAGCTCGTCCAGGGAGCGCCTGTGGCGGGCCTTCGAGAACCCCCACACCTCCACCATGGCGCTGGTCTTCTACTACGTCACCGGCTTCTTCATCGCCGTCTCCGTCATCGCTAACGTGGTGGAGACGGTGCCCTGCCGGCCCCCCAAGGGCAGCGTGAGGGACCTGCCCTGCGGGGAGAAGTACCAGCTGGCCTTCTTCTGCATGGACACGGCCTGCGTGCTCATCTTCACGTTCGAGTACCTGATGCGGCTCTTCGCCGCGCCCAGCCGCTGCAAGTTCATGCGCTCGGTGATGTCGGTGATCGACGTGGTGGCCATCCTGCCGTACTACATCGGCCTGGTGATGCCCGAGAACGAGGACGTGAGCGGCGCCTTCGTCACGCTGCGCGTCTTCCGCGTCTTCCGCATCTTCAAGTTCTCGCGCCACTCGGCGGGCCTGCGGATCCTGGGCTACACGCTGAAGAGCTGCGCCTCGGAGCTGGGCTTCCTGCTCTTCAGCCTCACCATGGCCATCATCATCTTCGCCACCGTCATGTTCTACGCCGAGAAGGGCACCAAGGACTCCAGCTTCACCTCCATCCCGGCCTCCTTCTGGTACACCATCGTCACCATGACGACGCTGGGGTGAGTCCCCGTCGCTCTCGGGCTTCTTGTGTGTTGTTTTGTATCCCGGGTGACTGTGATGAACTGATTATTTTTATTTATTCTACGTTGCCGCCCGCTGTCGATGTGATCGCTATGGCAACGGCAGCGCGCCCTGGTCTTTGTGATATGTTGATATTATTGGTAACGAAGGACGGCTTTAACAATCTGCTTCCACCACGAGGCGAGAGGAAGTGTGAGTGTGTGTGTGTGTGTGTGTGTGTGTGTGTGTGTGTGTGTCGGCCTCCCACGCTTACTTCTCGAGTTTGGAGGTATATTCACTCTGCTGGCGCCCCCACACACACACACACACACACACACACACACACACACACACACACACATTGCTGCGGTGTGGACGTAGTGGGTGATGAGGACGATGATGAAGGTGGTGTGTTCACCCTACAGCTCTGATCTATTATCTGCTGTTCAAAGAGCCTTTGGAAACTTAAAATAAAGAGTGAGTCAGTGAAACGTCTATAAGCTTCCACCATGTAGCCTTCTAACACACACACACGCACACACACACACACACACACACACACACACACACACACACACACACTCTCCATTTATCTCCTACCTGTCTGTGAATGGAGATGCATCGAGCGCAGTGAGAGCTTCTGCTCAATGAGCGCTCCCCCTGAGGGGAGGGCCCCTCCCTGATTGGTCCGTTGTGATGATGTCACCCTGGAAGACGTGTGATATCTATTTATTGATGATGTTTATAGAGGTGAAAAGCAATCAACAACCCATAGAATCAATGGTAGTACGACGCTCAGGGCCGAGGAGCCACGAGCCACAAACCTAAAGTAGACCTGTGCGTCCTCCAGCGAACCCGACGGTAGCAGCTCCAGCACGGCCACATATATATATATATGTATATATATATATATTTAATCTCCCCCCCCCCTCTCACCTCCTCCTCCCTCCTAGCAGCTCCTTCGTCTTTGTTTTTCATCCTGATGTTTTATTGCTTCGCTCCTTGTTTTTATCACTGAACAAATAAACTGAGTGAACCATAAAACTATTTCAGCTCCTCCACAGTTAATATCTGTGAGCGCGGAGCTCGTTGTGTCTGCAGAGGATCCTCCTCCTGCAGCAGTACTTATTAAAACAACTCCCTCTTTTTGATAGATCTGTTGTACCATGAAGCTGGAGGGAGAAAAGCTTATTTAAACTCCTCCTCCTCTTTGTCTCCTTCCATCTTCTCCTCCCCACAAAGTGTTATAGTTTGATTTTTTTAGTCGTCTCAATTGAGTTGGATCAACACACCAGCGTCTTCAGTGGTCTCATCATGCTTCTTGTCATAAAGAGGAATCTTTGGTCTTATTGAGGATCAACTACGCCGACGGGTCGAGATTTCAAATAAAAATGTCCATTTAAAGGCGCAGCAGCGTCCCAATGCAAACACATGAATGATGAAATAATGGATTGCTGCGTTAACGCGTTCATAATGCTAACACAAACAGGACTGAAACAAAAGAGCCTGTAGATAATAAAGCAGTGTCAAACACACTTAACAGTAATCACATTGTATTTATTACAACAAAAAACATTCAAAATACTTAAATAACTGTTATTTACACTCAACACATTCTCAACAATCTACAACCAAGACAAAGTCTGGAACTACATTTAGGGAACTGAACACAATTTAAAAGGTGTTACTAAGGGAGGAAGGATTCTGGTCCAACGTAATGCAATGTGATGATGTGATGCAAGTAGTGGGCGGAGTCACAGTCAACCGAAAAAGGAACAAGTACAGTAGTACACCGCGACTTTAAACAGCAGCGTGCTGTGGAAAAATATTTTCTTCCAAGACGCCAACCGTTGCTATATTTTACAGCATTCAACTGTATTGGCAAATAACAGTATATTACTGTTGAGAATCTCGTTATTTTACAGTAATTTGTTAGTGTTCATTCTGCGGTCCAACTATCCCCAACCCTCTCAATGGGCTTTAGGTGGGGTGATGGTGGAGGCCAGGTCATGTGACGCAGCCCTCCGTCGGTCAAATAGCCCTCACAAAGCCTGGAGGTGTGTCGGGGTCTTTGTCCTGTGTAAACACAGATGCTGGTCCACTACGCGTAAAGCAGATGGGACGGCATGTCGCTGCAGGATGCTCCTCAAATAGGCCTTGAATGTCCGTTCTTTGAGCTTCTGGGCCCAAACAGGTCTCGTCTTGTTCTTCTCCTTCTTCCTCAGTATTGGACCATGAAGGCCTGATTTCGTCTCCTCTGAACAGGTGATGTTGAGATGTGTCTGCTACTTGGACTCTGTGAAGCATTTCTGTGGGCTCTAATCGGAGCCTTCTGAGGCTGGACTTCTCCTCGGCAGCAGAGGTCCCTCCTGGTCTTCCTGTCCTCGGGGGACCTCATGAGAGCCACTTTCATCACAGTGTTTGATGTTGTCTCACCTGCACTTGAGGAGACATTCAAAGTTCTTGAAAGGTTCTGGACGGACTGACCTCCGTGTCTCGATGTCACGATGGGCTGTGCTTTACTTTATTGATGGTTCTTGCCATAATCTGGATCAGAACTGTAGTGGAATAGATTTATCCACAGTCTTCATGAGTTAGTTGATTTATTCCCTCAGTAAACATTGTAAACATGAGTTTATAGCCTCAGTCTCTACTTTCAAGTCTTCTTCAATACAGATGATGTTCATTTAGTAGATGATGGTCCATTTAGAGTCAAACTGACCATAAAGCAGGGGATGCTTTAAGGCGGGGCTACACGCTGATTGACAGGTCTCTAGCAGACAATGACGCATTCAGTATCAACAAAACTTCCACTTGTAGTACAAAGAAGAACTATCGACATCTGTGACCAAGACGAAGTGCAAACCTTCTGAAATCCCAACACAGTATTTCTTTATACGATTTTATCCTTGACGATTTAGGGCGGGGCTACACACTGATTGACAGGTATAGTAGTAGAAGTATAGTATCGGTATACCGAAAGTCTCTCGTTCCCCATTTCATTTCTGTGAGAAGTGGTAACTTCCTGTTGCCCAGAGACAGACAGACAGACACACACACACACACACACACACACACACACACACACGCAAACACAAACACACAAACGTTGGACTTTGAAAAGTAAGGTGATTAAGGACTTTATTCTTTACTGTTTGGTCTCACTGTCACATCCACTCATTCACTCACATACAAGCAAAAGCAAAAAATCCTTCAGATATGGAGACAGATGGCTCGTAGAGTGTGTGTGTGTGTGTGTGTGTGTGTGTGTGTGTGTGTGTGAGTGAGTGTGGGTGTGATGTATCTTCATGTGTGTATTTTGTCACTTTTGGAGCACCATACTTGTGATTAATGGAAACATCTCAGCCAGAAAACAATCAATAAAGCTGAATGATCAGGTGATACATCATGTACTAGAGTACTAGTAATATTACCTCATCTCTTCTTCTACTGCCTCCTCCTCTCCTCTCCTCCTCGTTTCCTCTCCTCCCCTCCTCTCCTCCTCGTTTCCTCTCCTCCCCTCTGACCCTAATTGCTGCAGCTGCTGAGTGAGTGAGTGAGGAGATAAGCAGATAAAAAAGTCAAGGAGGAGAGAACCTTTCCTCTCATCAATTATTTCCTCTTAGTGTCTGAGTGCACCCTCCTCATCCTCCTCCTCCTCCTCTCCATCCTCCTCTCCCTCCTCTCCACCCTCCTCCTCCTCCTCTCCATCCTCCTCCTCTTCTCCATCCTTCTCCTCCTCCTCCTCTCCCTCTCTCTCTTCCTCTTCCTCTCGCATTTCCTCCTCTCCATCCTCCTCCTCCTCTCCATCCTCCTCCTCTTCTCCATCCTTCTCCTCCTCCTCTCCATCCTCCTCCTCTTGTCCATCCTTCTCCTCCTCTCCCTCTCTCTTCCTCTTCCTCTCGCATTTCCTCCTCTCCATCCTTTTCCTCCTCTACCTCTTTATCCTCAGGTTTCCTCTACTTGTCTCCTCTTCCCCATTCATTCACTAATTCCTGTTTCCTTCTTTCCTCTCTCCTTATCATTACATTACATCACATGTCATTTATCTGACGCTTTTATCCAAAGCGACTTACAATAAGTTCATTTCAACCATAAGGATACAAACTCAGAAGAGCAATTTCAAATAAGCCAATTTACAACTTGCTATAGATACACTGTCACCGTAAATTAACGGTATTTTACTGGCAGCAAGGACGCCAGGAATTTACCGTTATTTTACGGTATAATACTGTAAATGGGTTTTACACTATGTTACCGTAAAATAGATTACTGTATGTTACCGTAAACTTGAACAAATTTTACTGTGAATTAACTGGAATTTACTGGCAGTCGACGCTAGTAACTTACTGTTTTATTTACAGTGGCCTACCGTAATTTACGGTATGTTGTCGTATATTGGATTACAGTTTGTTACCATACGATTACTGTTTTTGTGTTATAAATACCAGAGTGTTACCGTTTACTTATAACCGTATACTTTTGCATTTAATTCCCCACAAATTAAAGAAAGACAACCAAACTCATTTCGGTCATAGTGGTTGGAGTTTATTAGATGCCTTTAAGACAAAAATGTTAGATATTTGTAACCAAGAACAAAACATAAAATATTCCGCAGGTATACAAAAATAAAAAAATGAATCATAAAATCATTAGCAACAAGGTAAACTAACTGCAACAATACGCTATGGAACACTTTCAATTGACCGCAGCAAACGGCTGGCGTCCTTAATCCAGAGCCTCTGTAAAACAAACCAAAATAAAATATTTAGAAACGCTCATTGGTAAAATATTAAAATTACAAAGTTGAGGAAGACAACAAGATGTAAGGAAAGAGAATGTTAATCATGCCAGGCAAATAAAACTTACCAAAATTACTTGGAGAGACGAGGCAATGAGAAACTCCTCCGATGTTGAACTGACAGGTGTTCTAGATGAACTGAGATTACGCGTTTGACGTCACGTTCAGGAGCAGTCGGTCACGATTAACACTCAAATG